ACCAACAGACGTCATCTACTTCAAACACTTTATACTACAAATTAATCACTGTAATGTAATGATATAATTAGAGGTTCTTTTTTTTTTGTTTATTTGCCTATTTTATTTTTAAGAATTAATATTAACTGCTATATTATTAGGGTTCCAGAAGAAGTGGTTTAGAGTCAAAAAAATTATTGGAAAATGAACTATTCAGAATACAAAATTATTATGACTCACCAATGGATGTTCTCGGTTCCACATTTTTGGCTAAACGTAAAGCTCGAGTAATTCCATTTTATACCAGTTTTTCGTTGTTTCCATATGCTTAAACGAAACATTTCACCACATTGATAGCTTTTTACTGTATTTACATAAACTGTATAATTTAATAAACAATTTTTGTTTGTGTCTATGTGATTTACAGCTTTTTACTTTCCACTACTAATTTTGGCTCTTATTTTTTCATCCTATTTTTCAGATGCAATTGGTTGACAATTCTGTCATTTCTGTCTTACTCCTTGCTTTTTTTTCCCCCACCTGTTATTAGTTGAGTCGTCAAAACTTAATAATTTTTTATATAACTCTAGTGTTTGTAAATGGTTAAGTTTTTTTCCTCGCTTTTCCAACTGTTTGATGTGCTTTTTTTTTTTTTTTTGTTTTTTTCCTCCCTAACTTTATGAATTATAAATTTCACATAATTGTTTAAACGCCTTAACTTTTTCTTTAAATTTGATAAAGCTGTTAATAATAAACATAATTATTTATGCTTCTGAAGGAAAATTTGTAAATTTGTTTTCACATTCTGAATTATAGTCAACTTAGGAATCGCCAATTATCAATTATCATTTTGTAATTTCACTCTGAACACTGCCAGAAACGTTTAATTGTATTTTCAGAATTCTGATTATTCCTTATGATTCTATTCAGTCTTTTTGTCTCCTCATCTTATTTATTGCAAATAAAAGAATTTTATAAAAAAACAATTTTTCAAGCACTATTTAATGAACAGTAACTTTGGTTAATGTTTATACATTACAACAAATCATCTATTATTATAACAAACAACGATCTCCAACTGGCGCTTTTTTTTTTTTGACTGTTTGCTTCAAAGAAAACAAAATTTTTATATAATACCAAAAAATTTTATTCATTTTGAAAATTAGTAAATTTTTAAAATTAGAATTGTATTTCATAACCTTAACACTTTCAGTAACTTCAGACTGCAATTTAATTTTTATAATCAAGTTTATAGAAATTAAAATTCCTAAACTACGATTTAAACGACACTTTAACAAAACAACCAATATTTGTTGTTGACTAAAAATTACCCCTGCTTTTTTCCGTAAAGCAAACAATAGTTTTTACACAAATTTTAATGTTTACTGTAGCCGAAAAAGACGAAGATGTACATTGCTGGGAACAGTTTTAATCACAGAAAATTGTATATGATTGTTTACAGTTTTGTTACAAAATTTGGAATCAGCATGGCTGTTTTTATCACTCATATATATCTGTTTCAGAGCCCAATGCTCTTATGGCCTGCATTCATTTTCCGTCAATTTCACCGGCACTTAATGTGCACTGAACCACTTAGCCAATACTCACAAAACCCAACCAGTCCGCTTAGCCAAACAACTACCCACTTGCAGTTAGTTAATGGCCCTTTGGATATGTCATCGATCACTGCGTAATTTATTGTCTCCTACTTTTTCTCTGTGACAACCTTACACTTGGAACAAAACTTCCTAAAAATTAAGTTTAAAAAAAAAAAACAACAGTAAAAGAAAACTGATAGCAGTAAAAAAGTACAATAAAATCAATCAGTGAAAAACAAGAACAAAAAAAAAAAATCAAGCAAAAGTTGATTTTTTCATAGAATAACAACAGTTGCTCATATAGCTTTGAAAAAAATTTTATTATCTAAACACTCAATTAACTGGTCAATTTTTCTTCCATTTTTTTTTTTCCTTTTATAACAGCAAACTTTCACTTACAACTAATTTTAGTCAACCTGAATTTGTTCATAACACAATCTGTATATACCAATTTTAGTTGTTGATCACAACAATATATGACCATCTCGTTGCTATATTAAAAAAGCTGCATCATTTACAACATTAAATAAATTTTTCCTTTCAGTAATTAATACAACTTTATCGGTTTGCACATCGATTACACTAATACCATTTTTGAAGCGCTTTCAAAAAAAAAAAAATGCAATTTTTGGGGAAATAATTAATGAAAGACATTTCAAATATCTAATTCCAGCCAAAAAATTTTTGTAAAATTTGAAGTACGATGAGAGAAACTAAAACAAGTAGTCAAGCATGATTAATAAATCAACAAAATCAGTTCTTACTATCATCCAATGCATCACTTTCAAAAAGCACTATTAGACAAACCCCGACCAACAAATATATAAACTAAAATAACAATCCGTTACTCTGTGATCTGAAAGTTTTGAGCAAATTACCATACTTTTCAATAGACTTTTCTATAAAATGATAACAGTCTTAAGTGCACACTAAAACCCATATATATAAACATACATATTTTATAAGATGTTTAACAGTTCTTTCCTGTAGCTTCAACCTAGTAAACTATATCGGGCCATGAGTTATCTCTGCAAACCATAAAAAATATCTCGGTTTGCTCCCACACATAAGCTGTTAAATCCTTGAATTTGGTTGCATTTCTAATTAAACGAGTCGCCAGAAATTTTTTAAATGTATCAAAACTGTTTCCACAAACTCCTAGATGTCATATTAAGAGCAATTGCCTAAAAGTGTGGTATTCAACTTGAAATATTATCCCAGTTCTCTTCAAAGTGGTTAACTGCCTTTCAATAATAATTTTACACGGTTTCTGTAGCTGCGATAAAAAAAAAGAAATTGAGCAGCTTGAAGTAGACTGCTCCCAAACTATCAAATTAATAATGTACCTTTACTACAGACAGTTAAAATACTGTTTCAACGCAGAAAATCAAATGAATGTCAGTTTCTAAAATTAAACCCCATGACGACAAGCTTATGTGCGCGCAAATTCACTGGACTTTTTACATAATAACTTCAAAAACAAATTTTAAACTTATAAAAAATAAAATTTCACAGAAGCGTGAGACAAATAAATGGGTAAACAAGTGGCAACAGAAACAAGCAAGCAAACGACTGAGAGTGATAAATTGTTAATTAGTAACTATCAGGCCATTTTTAACAGAAAACTAAATATTGAAAACAAATTTCCTCACTTAAAAAAAAACTGAAAGAGAAGACGGCTGTATCAGAAAAGCTTCAAGAAATTCATCAACATTACCAAAGCCACTCACTAATTTTATTTAACCACCAAAAACTACCAAAAATCTGATCACAGTTCTACATTACTCAGGAACAGATTTATGATTTCAAATTCACCCTTCAAGTTCAATCACTTGTCAGCAAATAATTACAACAAAAAGCAAAAAGATAAGAAACATTAGAAAGAAAAAAACCTTATTACTATAAACTCGTAAGCGGCAAAAGTTGGGAGAAAGAACGAATGATACAATTTTTTCATAAAAAAGTGAACCTTTTAAACAGTCCAAAGTCGATTGATCAATTCAAAAATATAGAAAAATTTCAAGCACATATTCAAGTTGCATCAACACAGTTTTTTAAACATCAAGCAGTTATCAAAAACAGAATGCCGTAAAATGCGGAAGAAGAGTTCCTAAAATATTAAGATTTAAATATCATATATCAGTTTCCTTGTAACAAGAAAATCCTGTAAGAACAAAATGAAAAGGTTAGAAATTAGTCTTAACAAACTGTCCAAACCATTTATTCTCTAAAAGAAAATTTCATTGTTTTGCAATATATACAACACTAAACTGAAATGCGTCACCCATTATGTTCCAGACACAACATGATGCAGCAAATTTGGGCCAACGCTACTTAACTCAGAGTCGTCTAAAAGAACACCTATTTCAGTTCCACAATGTACCACTTTTTTTTGAAAAAGATAAATCCTAATTGAAATCGGATAAAAAAAAAACATGAAACTGAGAACCAAAGAAATCAACGCACAATAGTGCTAACACGTACATCCTGAACTAACAAAAGAGTAACAACTCTCTTTAGAAGAAAAAAAAACTAAAGAAAAAAAGAAAAACAATAAACAAAAGCATTACTCTACAAATCTGCGAAATTAAAGAGACCAGTAACCGCGGTTCTTTGTAGTTAAATTTTTGGCAGTAAAATCATCAGTCTAACATCAGTTTCTTTACCCCAATCCAGAAAATACAAAGCCTTAGTTTGATCCACTAAACAAAAACTTGTTCACCAACTACAAAAAACAAGAACTTTCTACATAAGAACTACGAATTACTGAAATCCTCGAGAAAAGCTGCTAAAAAATCGAAGTATGTAAAGAGATCATGCTAAAACCCCTCCCTGACTAGGTTTTCTGCCTGGCCACGACTCTTTCGCGTATTTCTTCTTATGAGGAACATCACCATCATCATCATCTCGTGGATGAGTCACTGAGTGAGCAAATGATATGTGACCTGAACTTGGTTCCGGCAGTGTTTTAACATATAACTCTGGGTCAGGGGCCGCGTTCATTACAATTGACAAACTCGAAACCATAGGCAAAGCATATCTAAAAAAAATAACTTTAGCATTAAACGTCTCTCAAACGGTACTGACCAGTAAGTGACAAGCATTTAAAAGTTGTTATACGAAACCTGCAATACAAGATATATTGCATAGAGAATAAATTTATCATAGAATACAAGATGGATTATAAAAGTCTAACCAAAACTATACTTTTTTTCAGACTAAAACACATCGACATTGATGATGAACTGTCACTCTATTGAGAAAAAAAATTAAGCAAAAAAAGGAATAAATTTTTTAATCTATTACAGGTCATTCAAGTTTTTTTCTGCTTTATCTTTTTGAAAAATAAACACTCACCTTCAGCAGTCTAAAGAAGTCAATAAAAAACCATCAAAAATGATTGATTTGCAACCAGTACAAAATTAACAGCAGAAAATAAAAGGGGGTTTCTGAACCGAAACTTGAGCATACCTGGCATTATTTCTAGAATCATCAATACGCCCCGGCCGCAATATCTTTTTCGGTGCAGGACCTTCTTTTTCAGCATCTTCTGCCCCATCAATAGTTCCTTTCCTCTTCGAAGAGATAATAGCTGTGGTAACTAAATTTCTAAACCTTCCTATTGTCGGATCAACGTCTTCTGAAATACGAATACCTTAAAAATCAAACAAGAAAGTTTTTAGAAACACTGGCTATATCATAGAGACAGATAGAGTTTCAACGTTGAAAAAAAATATTACTTCCTATGGAGATTTATTTTGACAAAGATTAACTCTAGCACAAGAGTTTACCTGGATTTATAATCGTCTCTTCTTCCAAAAAAGCTACATTCCCTCGCTGACGTTTTTTTCGCCTCGCATCTTCAAGAGATATGGGGATAATTGGAATACGTCTATTCAGAGCTGTGTTATACTCAGTGAGGTTCTGAACAAGTACAAAGTAGTGTGAAATAACTAAAATATTGAAAAAAATATTCAAAACCTCAAGCTCATGCTCTTGTGGCAGCATGTCCTTGTTCCCTTCCTCATCCTCATCTGCTAGTTCCAGTCGACCACGAAGAATGTATCTCCTTGTCGAAGCTCCAAAATGAAAAATACCGCCTTCTTCGATAAATACAGGCTGATAAGGCTCTAAACGCCGTTTACCAACGAATGTGCCATGACCTGTGGAAAAAAAAAA